GTCCTTTATACATATCGCGTTTAACTTTCTCCTGATAGACTGTATTTTGTTTGTATATATTGATGTCGGCGAATACACGGTAGGATGCTCCTTTCTCGCAACTATATCTATCACCCTTCTTCCGCTCCTTCGTATTGGTCCATTTCTCCTACATCTCTCCGGTTTCATATTTACTCCGTAGCCTTCTGAGGCAGAACCAGGCGATTCCGTCTCTCCCGAAACTGATCGCTCCAGAAAGGAGCTGTTCTACTGGCTCGTGCGGGGTATACGGCCGTCGAGGCGGCAGCGCGCGAGGAGAAGCGCCGGCGGCTGGCGGAGGCGAGCCGGGCGCGGCGCGAGCAGCAGGAGGCCGAGGAGGAGGCGGCGCGGCGCAAGAGGCTGGGCCTGCCGCCGCTCGTCAAGGCGTCGGAGGAGGACGCGCTGGAGCTGGAGGAGGGCGCGGAGGACGTGCCGGAGGCGGAGCTGCGGGGAAAGCTTAGGGATCTCGGGGCGCCGGCTGTGCTGTTTGGCGAGGGCCACGGCGCGAGGCTGCGGCGGTACAGGCGGCTCACGACGGTGGTCACCAAGGGTCCCGTGCCGACGACGCTGGAGCTCGTCGAGGAGAAGGACATGAAGGTGCAGGGCGGGGCACCCAAGGACAAGGAGGCGCGAAAATGGGTGTTCAGGCAGCTGGCGAGCTACTTCACAATGGTCTTGACGGAGTATCAGCGGGCCATGGAGGCGGAGAGGAGCGATACTACGGCGAGCAAGGCGGCGTACGCGACCATGGTGCAGAGTCGCGAGAACATGAAGCCGGTACGTGCTCCTTCTCCCGATAGCCTGCACGGCGAGACACATCACACAGTTTGACTGACGGATTTGTAGCTTTTCCGACGGTTCGAAAAGGGCGACGTCGATGACGACCTCCTGGCGCCCATCATAGAGATTGTGCAGGCGGCACAGGAGAGGCGGTACGTCGACGCCAACGACGGATACCTGCGACTGTCTATCGGCAAGGCGGCGTGGCCTATCGGCGTGACCATGGTGGGCATTCACGAGCGCAGCGCGCGCGAGAAGCTGCACAACGTCGAGCGAGGGCATGTCATGGGTGATGAGGGTGACGCCGCAAG